TCAAAAATGGCGTGGCGCTATTTTTCTTTCTATGGACTTGGGTCTATCCATAAAATAAAGGAAGTTGTGGATCCGTTTGTTTACAAAGATGTGTTGGACATCACGTTGTTCCCTTACGCTGAGTAAAATATTGGGCTGATTTGTGTGTTTCAGCATGACAATGATCCCAAACTTGTATCAAAACTTGTCAAATATTGGTTGCGGTTGAGTCAAAAATTCATGTTTTGTTATGGCCGGCACAATCACCTGACCTAAACTCCTTAGAAAGCCTTTGGAGTATCGTAGATAGGAAGATCAAGAGAGATTCGGAAATAAATAAGCACAACATTTTCTAAAGAATTCGGGGTGCCTGGGAAAGCACACCCAAGGATCAAATTGAGCGTGTTATAGATTCAATGCCTCGTAGGTGTGCAGCTGCTATCAAAAATAATGGTTATGCTATCGACTACTAGCCAAAATTTAATTATTTTAAAATAAAAAAATCAAAAGTTGCTTTAGTTTTGACCAAGCAAAAATTGGGTCATTTTAGTTTTCCACATATTATTTTTCGTTCAAACTTATTTTTGTATTTTTATTTTTAGTTTCTTGAAAGTGAATCAAACCCCTCATTTAAAACTGGAAAAATAATTACGATTTGTTCATTTTTGTAAAAGTTACAGGACATTTATTGTCTTTGCGATTTAAGTTGCTTTAGTTTTGGCCACCAGTGTATATATGACCTCTAAATGTGCTTCTAGCTGTAGTGGACCTGTAGGAAACCTTACAGCATCTGAAAAATCGTGTTATTTCTCCTATACATCGAAACTATATCAGTATATATGGAAGGCATTAATCTTATATAATGTCCTCCAGCTATAGAATATTTGTAAGTGGCCTAGATGGACAATTTTCATTAAAAAGACGACATATATTGTATCTGTAGAAGATTTGATGGAAATCGATCCATAGAGGACCACCGCATGGTATTCCATATATAACAGAACTTCAGAAGTCCTTCAAATTTCTGAATATCTGGTACTAAAAGTTGTCTATAGATCTTATTTAGATTATTTATATTTTAAAGACCCGTAGAAGTGAATGGAAAGGTCTGGGAGGTCTTTTAAAAAAATTAAGTATTCAGAAAGCTTACAGAGGTATAATTATCATCGTAACAAGCTTTTTATAAGTTAATGTGTCTCAAATTCGTACTGTAAGGGGAATTATAAAAATCGTACTATTATTTTGGTTTTTTTCAAATATTGGAAAAAATAATATTTTTATATAAAACATTTTTTTCGATTTATTTTAAACATTGCAAAAAAGCGCGTTTAGTAGATTTTATTATTTTTGAAAAGAAAAAACAGTTCACTTCCAAGTCCAATCGAAGCTCTCGTTCATTTGACCAAACCGTCTGTAAGTATCGACGAAAAAGTAATTCAAAAAATATACTTTTCCGTATATTACTCATACACAGTGGTGGACAATTGATGTTGGCACTGAATATGGGTTTTGTTGTTGTTGTTATTATTTTTTGCTCTGTTGTTTTCAAAGTAAAAATAAAACAATTAATAATAAGTTTTGTATTAATTATTTCATAGGCTGTGAAAAAAAGTCAAACTCACACATACCAATACGCCGATGTAAAGAATTTGTATTTGGTTAATAGATAAAGAAATAGCAACAACAACGAAAACAACAGCGTACGCACAGTGAGCGGAAAGAAAATTTTAATATGGACTGCTTCAGGCACGCACTCAAGCACAATTGACAATTGACTCCCCCACCTCTGCATTGGCCAGGCATTGGTTATAATTAGCAAAACTATAGAAATGAAGCCAAAACCCCCCTCTAACCCCCTCAAAATTGTAACGTCACTTTTTAGGTTTGTTTTTTTTTTTCTTCGTAATATTTTTCAATAACCAGAAAATGTTGATTATTTCCATTGCACTTCAAATTGCTTGGCTGGATGGCTGGCCGGCCTGCCTGACTGACTGACTGACGGCCCGATGTGTTTGTTTACTTTTTGAGCTTTGTTTTGTTGTTGCCGCTGCGCTTGATTGTTATTGCAAATGAAAAGCTTTCTTTTTCATTTCATTTTGCAAAGCTTATTGTTGTCGTAGTTGTTGTTCGTGTTTCATATTGCACATCGACATGACAGGCAATACAAAGAAACCACTGCAACAGCAGCAACAAAAAAACTGCATTTTTGTTTAAGGAAATAAAACAAAAGAGAAAAATATTTAGAAATGCCATTGTTATTGTTTGTTTTGCTGTTATTTGTCAAGAAGAAAATGGTGAACAGCTGTGAAAACCGGTTGCCGGTTTTAGTTATTTTGTTTTGTTTTTTTTTTTTTTTTGTAAGCGGTAATCTATCAGCTAGGCAGGCAACATTTTACAATTACTAATCGTTCGTATCCAATAGGATTTTGTTGTTATTCTTTTATTGTTTTCCAAGTAATAATAAATTAATCATACGTTAGATAGTTGCCCGGTAAGGAACAAAAGCGGAAGTAAATGTTTGTAAGCTTTATCAAAAAGTTTAGGGTCTTTCATATATTTATTTTTTTTTTTTTTTGGTTAATTGAAAGTTCTGTATCTTGAGAGTCGTTCAACAACTTGGCTTGTTTTGCTTTCGTTAGTATCATCTTGAAATCAAAGTTGTTTTACAGGGTTTGTTAATTTTTAAGTTTCCGGAAATGCCATGAGAGGTTTGAATTAATATTATAAAATCTCAGAACTTGTATTTTTATTGATATAATGTTGATATAAAATAATACCATTTTTTGCTCTACCAAATTTGTCCAGTAAAAATTGTAAACGATTATTTTATTGTTCGTATTCTCGTCAATTTAAAATTAAATTAAATTTTAAATGTCAACTAATGTTTTCGGTAGTGAATAATCCCCTTTTAAAGTTGCCAACATGATATTTCAAATAATGACACCCATATCGTAATATTTCATTCGGCAAAGTCATTGAAATTCCAAAAAGTGCAAGAACTTACACCGCAACGGAAAGAAAACAGACTCAAAAGATCTAAAGAGTTGCTTCGCTTGTGCTTAGCCGGAAGTGATGAACTGCCGAATTTGGTTTCCCCCAATGAGTAAACATTCGTTGTCCAGCAGTTTGTAAACAAACAAAATGATCGTGTTTACTTGCCAAAGAGGTCAACTCAAAATGTGCACTTTTGGTTGGAGACCAGAACTCTCCGCTCGAATAAATCGACCGTGGCATCAGAATAAATGCGGAATATTGGAGGGTGTATTAAAGCATTGGGCACGCAAACATTTTGGCCTTGGACATTCCGACAGGACTCAGCACCGCACTCAGCACACGCCACCAAGAATGCTTACAAAATGAGGTTCTTCGCTTCATTTCCAGCGCTCAATGGCCACCAAAATCTCCGGATGCCAATCCGTTGGATTATTGAGTATGCAGTATTTTGGAAAGCAAGGTTGGCACTAAAAAATACCAAAGTGTCGATCACCTCAAGCAAGCGCTTCGCCGTGCCCGGAATGGGCCAAAATACCGCAGAGCAACATTCGGGCAGCGTGTGACGGTTTCATTCGCCGTCTGAAGGCCATAATTCGTGCCAAAGGTGACCAATTCGAATCTAATCTAATCTAAACTTTTTCTAAAAATTGATGCTATTTCCGACATTTTTTCATTCAATAAATATTTAAAAAAGTAAAAATATGGCGTTTGACTTTGTTGCAGTTTTTTATCTCACCCTGTATAGGTCCACTATTTCTGGTATCTCCCCCACAATGGGTCAATTTTTTTAATATTCATGAAGCTCATAAGACACGAAATTAACATCCGATTCCATTCTGACTTGGTGCATCTCAACATTTTGATCAACGCAAGATCTGTTATAAATATGATAGGGATCGGACATTTCCAACTGGTACCTCCCCCACAAAGGGTTAAAATTTGGAATCAAAACGATCATAAAATTCGAAATAAGCATCTGGTTCTCGTCAAATATTTTGAGTAGAATCTGATGTAGAAATATAACATATCGGTCCACTCATTCTGGCAACTCCCCCACAAAATAGCGAAAATAACGCCCGATTCCATTCAGACTTGGTACATCACAATATTTTCATCAACACAAGATATTTTATAAATATGGTAGAGATTGGGCCAATCCTTCTGGAACCTCCTCCACAAAGGCTCAAAATTTTGAATATCCATATATATTTCTGCGCACCGCTTCTGGCACCTCACTCACAAAGGGTGACGATTTTCAATACTTTTATCTGTCATAACTTGCGAAACTAGTCAGCGATTCTTCACAAGTTGCTATATCTAAATATTTCTCTCAACCATAAACCTGAGATGATTATGAAATTTTTTCGGATTTAAAGATTTCACATAAAATTGTATATGAATGTTCGATTTTCTTGTGATTTTCCACATATCAATTTCTAAACTTCGGCCCACTATAGCTGGTACCTCAGGCACATTTTAGCATTTTCTAAAAATGATCATATATCTTATGGAAGTAACCAATATAGCCTACACTTGGAACGTCGCAATATTTATATCATATTTATTTAGGTCCGATACGAAATGAACAATATTGGCCAATTCTTTCGGAACCTACTCCATAGATGGTCAAACATTTGAATAATCATAACAGAAGTCAAAACATATTTTAATAGTTGAACATTGGCTGAGGGTATACATCTATCGGCAAGATAGTTTTTAATTTGTTTTTTTAATCTTTATTTTATAGAAAAAATATTTTTGGTTCAGAAACTTTGTTCGTTATTATCATTTTTATGACATTAAAAAACTAGTTTGCACCCTTATTTGAAATAGTGTTGTCCGTAGGGTCGTATAATCAATAATTGAATTAATGTATTACTCATACGCCCTACCGGCCCTTATCAATTGCTATTCACATTTTGTATAAGTGGAGCTCTGCCCTTCTTTTTACTACTCAATACCTTGAAATGAACAACAACTAATGTGTGATTTTTCTCTCTCTCCCACTCTCTCTCTCTCATTTGCAGAACACATGATCTAATTCGATGCATGTTCATAACAACAACTATAAATGCGTCCCCAAAGACAACGTGTGGGATTTGTTGATGTTAAGATCGGGACACCGTTCATTAAAAGGATACGTTGTAAAATCAAATCCTGTGCTCTTCCAAATGGTATGTCGATAAAATGATACAGCAATCGTAAATCGCGTGTTTTCGACGCGAGTCAATGCAGCATCTCTAATCATCACCATCATCATCAAATCATCATATGATTCGGCAAGCAACAATCATCTAACAGCTAGCAAAACAGCTTCATCCAAATACACGAAAAGGAAAAAAAAAAACAAAAGAAAATGAAACACAACATGTTAGAATAATAACATAAAAAAGAAGTAAAAATAAAAACAAAAAACAATCATGCCAAATTAGCAATAATTTAAAAAAAAATGCAAAAAAACACTTGAACTCCATCATAAAATCGAAAACGTCTTTCTTCATTGCAAAAGAAAAAAATCCAGCTCACCATTGTCATTGCTAAAGCCCATGCATTGCTCATTGGCCGAGCTTTTGGTGGTGACTGCTGAAATCTCTAATCTACCCGAACAAACGCACTGCCTTTCATTGATGACCTTTCTTTGCTTTACACATTTACAACAAAATCAACAAATCATTGAAACAACAAAGTATTTGGTTTTTGTAAATAATTTCAAAAAAGAAAAAGAAAAATCTATTAATTAATAAGAACAGCAACAACAAAATATCAACAAACCGAAAAAAAGGTAAGTGTTGCTCTGCTGTCATCTGTATACCCATGTATGTATGTATGTATGTAGGTATATAACCAAGTGTGTGCGAGCATTTGAATTATCAGTTATAATAGTTTTTTTCTTTTTTTTTTGTTGAAACAAAGAAAATTTCCTAGCTATATACAACAACAATCACCATATAGCACCAGCAGCTAGCTAGGCTATAGTAATATGTAGATTTGTTACAAGTTGACAGTTTAAATTAATACTAAAACGTACGGCACATATTCTGACACACACACACATACACTCATATATAAACAGAGCCAGAATGTACAAAGACCCACATCTGTAGTTAATTAATTTCAATATTATAGCAACAAATGACTGATATTCGCTCTATTAACATTTCAATTAAAGCAAATATTGTGATAATTATAAGTGATTGTAACCTCTTGGACGGGCTTGGCGGTGGATTGCGTCTAATGTCAAGTTCAAGTAAAACCGACTGTTTTTCAGAATCGATCGATGCCTGTTTAATTTCATGGGAAATCCTTAGTTTCAGGGTGGAAAATGAAGCTTGGAAATAATGATTTGAAATGCATGTGGGGTGATTCAAATTTGAAGGTTGGGCTATTAGATTTTGAATATTTATACCCTACACCACAAGGTGGTATCTTTGTACATTTGTTTGTAACAGGCAAAAGGAAACGAGATTGACCCATAGTTCCTTTTGATGATCTGCATAGAATCACATTCTGAGTCGATTTATGCATGTCCGTCCGTCTTTCCGTCCGTCCCTCTGTCCATGTATTTTTGTAAACAAAGTACAGTTCGCATTTATTGCACTATCCAAATAAAATTTTGCACAAATCGTTTGTTTGGCCCAAGTACGAACCCTATTGAAATTGGAGGTAATCGGTCAAAATTTAGATATAGCTCCCATATATATCTTCGTCCGATTTGCTTTTTATTGTGCACCAAACGTGTAATATCAGCCCGAATAGTATGGAATTTTGCACATACAACCAAATTAGACCTGAAAATAAGTATGCCAAATTTGATCGAAATCGATTCAGATATAGCTATAGCTCCCATATATATTGTTCATCCGATTTGTTATTTTTGTCCTCCGCAGCCGTAATATGCACTCTGTAACAACAATATTTGGGGAAATATATCAAATACAGCTCAGAAATACATTTTCTAAATTTTATCGAGATCGGTTCAGATTTGGATATTGCTCTCATATATAACTTCGTCCGATTTACTTTTTATTGTGCACCAAACCTCTAATATTTGTCCAAATGGGATGAAATTTGGCACTTACGACCGAATTTAGTCTAGAAGCTAGTATGTCAAATTTGGTGAAGATCGGTTCAGCTATAGCTATAGCTTCCATATATATTGTTCATCCGATTTGTTATATTTGTTACCCACAGCCGTAATATGCACTCCGTAACAACGATATTCAGGGAAATATATCAAATACAGCTCAGAAATATCTTTGCCAAATTTTACTGAGATCGGTTCCGATTTGGATATAGCACCCATATATATACATATATATATATACAATACAAGTCCGAATTTAAAAGATACAATTGCTTCGGCATATTTAGCCCTTTGAACTTTAAATTTAATTATAGCGTGTATGATTGAATTCTCCCACAAAAATCTTAATTGTTATGAGGAGCTCTACTAAATTAGCAAAGTGGTGTAGGGAATTATAAAGTCGGCCCGCCCGACTTTAAGACTTTCTTTGCTGGTTTTTTTATTTTTTATAGCCTCCACCATTCTGTGGAAGGTATATTAGCTTTGTCATTCCGTTTGTAACTCCTCGAAATATTCATAATAGACTCTACAAAGTATATATATTCTGGATCAGCGTAAAATTCTAAGACGATATAGCGATGTCCGTCTGTATGTTGTTATCACGCTATCTTTCGAACAAATTGAGATAGAAGGCTAAAATTTTGCATGCATGCTTAGTTTACCAGTAGGTAGGTTTAGTTCATGAATGGGCCATGTCAGTTCACGTTTTCGTATAGCCCCCATATGACGATACCTCCCGATATTCGGTATTTTGATGATTTTTGCCACATGTTTTCACGGATTTGTCTGAGAATTGGTATTTGTAGGCCATAATGGGTCCTAGTCCTTGTGGCGAAACATTGTATGTATAGGTCCACGTTTTTGTATAGCCCTATATAGCGATACCTCCCGATATTCGGTATTTTGATGATTTTTGCCACATTTTCCCACGAATAAGTCTAAAAATTGCTATTTGTGGATCATAATTGGTTCTAATGTTTCCATTTCGCTAAGGTGGAGGGTATTAAAAGTTCGGCCCGGCCTAACTTAATGTTTTTTACTCGTTTCAAAATAAATTGATTCCTTTTTTTTCATGGGAAATCCCTATTTTCGGGGTGGAAAATGAGGTTTGGAAATAACAATTTGAGATGCATGTGATGTGAGGTAGAGTTATTAAATTTTGGATTTTTCCTTTGATTTATAAAAAGATTTTTAAACTCCTAAATATTGGAGGACAGCTTTCGCTATGATGTATATTGAAAGGGTACGCCAAGGCATCCTATAAGCTAGGGGTTCTTCAGAAAGTTTCCCAGCAAACATTTACCAAATAATGAGTAACTTCTTACCAATCAGTCTTCTAACCTAGTAGTTATACTAGGCCGACAAACAAGTAGCACGTTGTATTTTTAAAGTAAATGTTCCATTCGCACACAATACTTTTTTCTAAATATAAGGGCTGTTTTATGTCTCACAGCCAAAAATTATTCCTTTTTTTCGTTGCAAATGCACTTCATTCTAATGAATGAGGAAAATAAGCTCCATTGATTTAAATTTTCGAAGAATATCCCTTATGTTCAATCTAATTCAGAAGTTTTGCATTACTTTGTAGTGGACTATTCGGATCATTTTGCTTCCCAGTTTTTATATCTAGTTAGTACCTAGTCGAAATAATGGTTTTACAACCTAGGTCTCTTTGGACCAAATCCGTTTCAGGACATTTTGAGTCGATCTAGCGAGGTGCGTTTGTCGGACTGGTGCGCACGATGACTCTCGAAGGGAACATCCGATTTGGTCCAAACTTGGTACATCGTAATATTATTGTCAAACTTAGATCGAGTTCGGAGATGGGTAATATCGGTCTACTTCTTCTGGAACCTCCCCCACAAAAGGTCAAACTTTTCAATTAAAATATTTTACTGTAATGTAAGTGTCCGATTGTCATATTACACACATAACAATATTTTTATTAACCCAATATCTAGTGAGAAGATGGAATATATCGGTCCACTCCTTTTGACACCTCCCCCACAAAAGACCGATCTTTTCAATAAAAATATTTAACTGCACAGAACCAATAGTTTTATCAACCTAAGGTCTGGTGCCAATGTGGAATACATCGGTCCTTCTGGTAACTCGCCCACAAAACGTCAAAATTTTCGAACAAAATAAACAAAATATTTTCTGCAGAGAAAGAAAAGAAATAATTCGATTTTGCTCCAACTTTGCAAAACCTAATATTTACATCAAGCTAGGTCAGGTGCAAAAATTGACAATATCAGTACCTCCCCCAACAAGGTTCTAATAATAATTATAATTTTTGTGATGTAAGTGTCCGATTTTCTTCAAATTACACACAAAACAATATTTTTATTAACCCAAGGTCTGGAGTGAAGATGAGATATATCGGTCCACTCCTTCTGGTACCTCCCTTACAAAGGGTCAAAATTTTGAATATTAATGAAACACCAAATTAACATCCAATTCCATTTAGCCTTGGCACGTCTGAATTTTTCTTTCAACACAGGATCTGTTATAAAGGCGGTAGAGATCGGACCTCCCCCACAAAGGGTCAAAGTTTTGAATAACCAAAACGTTTGTAAAATCCGAAATAAGCATCAGGTTCTCTTTATGTTTCACACAATCTACTAACACGAGATCTCTTGTGAAGATGAGATATATCGGTCCTCTCCTTCTAGTACCTCCCCCAAAATCAAAATATCCATCGAGCTCATAAAACGTGAAATTAACATCCGATTCCATTCTGACTTGGCACATCCCAATATTTTCATAAACGCAAGATCTGCTATAAAGATGTTAGGGATCGGACCATTTTTTCTGATACCTACCCCACATGGTTCAAGATTTTAAGAAACCAAACGCCCAAAGTAAACCAAATAAGCATTCAACTCTCTTCAAATATCACGCATACAAACATTTTTGCTAACACGAGATCTGTTGTGAAAATGATGTATAGCTGCGAAACCCTTCTTGTATCTCACCCACAAAGGGTCACTGTCGGCAGAACCGATTTATACTTTTTAGCTTGTTTTAATATATTTTGATTTGCTTTGTGATTATTTAAACTGTTGACCCTTTATGAGAGGACAGTTCGGAAAGAGTGGGCCAATATTATCCATTTCATATCTGACCTAAGTTTGATATAAATATTACAATTGTCCATATTTGGACTATATCGGCTACTTCCTTCACATTTTATGAGATATGTGATAATTTTGGTAAAATGTTGAAATATGCGTGAGGTACCATATATAGAGGAGTGGACCGGTAGATTCCATATTCACCAAGTTTAAAAATAATCGTTTACTTGTTACGCAAGTTTTGAGAGATTTAAATAATGAAAATGTTGATCCTGTGTGGGAGATGTGCTAGCATGTGGGCCGATATATATTACCTTTAAACCAAATCTTGTGTTAATCGAAGTATTGGAATGTGTAAAATGTAGAAAGTATCAGATAACTTATGTCGAAATTTATCAGCGTTTCGTTATTTAGAATTTTGAGCAGTTGGTAGGGGACGTGCCAGAAGAAATGGACACATTAATCCCATTTCGTCACCAGATCTTTCGCTAGTAAAAACGTTGGATTGTACGAAATTAAAAGAGAATAAGATGTTTATTTCGCTTTTATGAGCGTTTGTTATTCAAAAATAAGACCCTTTTGTGGAGAAATTCCGAAGAAGTGAACCGATATATATATATA